AACTTTTAATGGCCTTCACTATCTTGGTACTATCAAGTAAACTGTGAAGCTTTATGTTTCCCTTTGGCTTCTTAAGTTTCTATTTCGGCTACCAGGTTGAAGTAGAGATGCTGTAGTGAAGCATATTATCTAGAATTTAGTTCCCTTCTTTTTTGTTACTGACTACTGCAGTTATTGTATAAGATAGGATATAATTTTAGTCTTCTATAAAGACAATAAACATAAGAGCATGAACCAAAGGGTTGATAGTATTTTATTTCAGTAACTGACCAATTGAAGAGAGTGACCGCCCGTTGATTGAGCAATCTGCCAACAACTTAGACAATTTTGGCCATGTGTATCAGTGTATGATCATGCTCCCATTTACTCCCTCCGTTCCATAATTGTTGTCAACGGGCGGTCATTGTATGGAACGGAGGGAGTACTTAACAGTAACTACTATCAGATCATTCAGGTATCTAATAATTGTGATTGTGGAAGTAGATGACAAATCCTGAATTCTAAATATTTTCTGTTCAACGACACAGGGCTATATGTTGCTAGCATTGCAGGCATACTTGCCTTCACTACATCCTCTGGATTGTGAGATAAACAAAGAACCAAACAACTGTGAGTCAGCTAAAGGTTGGAGCTTAACACTGCTCTACTTGAGCTTATTAATGTTTGCCATCGGAGAAGGCTGCATGCGTGCTTGCATACCATTGCTTGGTGGAGATCAGTTCAGCAATGATGATCCAAAAGAAACACATCTCAAGAGTACGTTCTTGAGCTGGATCAAGTTTGCAAACTCCGTTGGAGCACTCATGGGATTGGTATTCTTAGTCTGGATCGAGAACAATTTGGGCTGGGCCCTTGGCTTTATGATATCTGCACTTATTGTACTTGTAGGGCTGTTTGTGGCAGCCAGTGGACTGCCTTTCTATAGAACACAGAAGCCTAATGGAAGTCCTCTAAAGGGAATATTGCAGGTAAAACTTCATACAGAGCACAGTATGCATGCTAATTATGAAGGTTCCAGTACTCATTAGTCTCATGTCATCGTTCCTACATCCTAATCCAAGTGAACAACACAATTCTAGACTATCCGGTCCAAGTTTTACAGGGTAGAACAGAATTTTGCTTGATCCCAATGCACTGGATTAGTCATTCTTATAATCTTAATCCTGAAAGGTCACCATGTCCCATCCCTAACTAGCATATTAGTTACTCATCAAGCAATAAAGGAATCAACACGCTAATTTTCAAAAATTGAATGTGTCTCATCCTGCATCTATCAAGTTAAAACAAGAAAAACTGAAGATGCAGATGGTTCTCAACATTCAAGTTATATTCTCCAGGTTCTTGTCACTTCATCAAAGAAGAGGCAGGTTGCTACCATAGATGTTATCGAGCTGCAGGAGATAGGAGCGGCCGATAGTGTTGATGGGGAAGGCAAATCTGACAGCAAGAGCACTGGGTAAGTTCCTTAGTGGTCAACATTCCCAAACTCTTGCCTTCTGTTTAGCTAATTGTTAGTACATTTATATTTCTGAAAATAAGTAGAAGTGTTACAACCTAGGATGTCAACAATTTAAAGAGTAAAAGAAATGCCCGGACGTAGCAATATCGTGATATTAACTCAAGTACTCAACTATAATCCTTTTAGCATATTCTTGGAGAAATCTAGAATATATTTGATGGAGGTAACAATTCATTTTCATTCTGCAGCACCACTCAGGTCGAGGAGTTAACAAAGGCCATCACCCGAATGCTTCCAATCTTCATCAGCTGCTTGCTCATCTACCTGCCCTTCACGCTGCTAATGACACTAACGATACAAGTCGGCAGCACCATGGACAAAGGGATAGGCGTGATCCAGATACCTTCCGCCTCTCTAATTGCAATCCCAACAGCATTTCACATGCTTATGCAACCATGCTACAGGCAGATATTGACGCCACTGCTAAAAAGATTTACAGGCCACACACACGGAATCACCCCACTGCAGAGTATCGGTGCTGGCTCGGTGTGCGGGGTAGCAGCAGCATGCCTTGCGGCGTTAGTGGAAACAAGAAGGCTGACAGTCGCAGAACAGCATGGGCTAACATTGACAGGAGCAGGTGTCCCGATGTCCGTGTTCTGGTTGGTGCTGCAATTCTTCCTGCTAAGCATCATGGATGCAGCATCCTTCAGCGGACTGATTGAGTTCATAAAGAGCGAGTCATCTCCGGAAATGAAGCTGATAGCACCGGCCATGCAGTCCATCGTTGCTGGAATAGCAGCCTGGTTAGCATGTGCCTTCATACAGCTAGCGAACAATGCTTCACGGCACGGGGATGGCGGAAGAGGGTGGCTAGATGGAGCAGACTTCAACAGGACGCGCCTTGATCGTTTCTTCTTGTTGCTGGCAGGCTTTGAGTTTGTGGCACTCATCAACTATGCTTTCTGGGCGAGGAGATATGCCAAGAAGCAACGGAGCAGTGGTGTTTGATTAGTCGGTGATAGCTCTGAAAACTAAATAGCCAAGCATAGCGAGATACATAGGCAATAGGTGATAGACCAAATATTTTTTGATGAATTGTTTTAGGTAGTGTATCAATGCTATACAGACTGTAACTGAGAAATACTGTAATCTCCACCAATCAATATTCAGCAGTAGCTTGACAGCACCAGTGATCCATAAAATGTGTCATACAGATACGTTACCTTTTTCATTGAAAAGAAAAAAGAAGTGTCACCTCACAAAGTCATCAATAGATTCGTCGAACATCAAAGTGGAATCGTGGTAGTTGGAGCAATCGGGTAAGAACCATCGTACCCATCTTCCCAAGTCGATACCCTCGCAGCCTCCCCGCTGAAGGACTCAGCGCCGCGGCACCCCAATCTAACCACGAAACGCGGTGGCCGGAGAGTAAAAGGGATAAAAGCAGTTCAGATGCGGAGAAAGAAAACCTACCGCGGCGAGTCTCCGGCGAGCGGGCGGGGAACAGAGGTGCCGGACAATGCGGGGACCGAAACGGCGAGGTGGACGGCCGGCGTGCGTGAGATGGTAGTGAGAGTTGGGGGAACTGGTGCGGAGTGGGAGGGGCTCGGTCGCTCGGCTCAGCTCCGCGGTGGACGGCGGCGTGAAGAAATGCAGGTGGGTAGTCCAGTTTACTGCGCCAGCTGGGACCAGCTTATCTGTCACACCGACGAGTGGGTCCCACCTGTCAGCATGTTCTTCTTGCTCCTCTTCCTCTCTTTCTCCTTTCCTGTTCGGCTCTTCCCCCTCACCAATCAATCATAGCCCCGCGGCAGTTTTCAGGGTTGGCAGGGCGCGGGCAGAAGCTGCGTCTGAGGGCCACGAGACAAGGAGTGCGGACGCGGACCGTGGAGGCGACGGCGGCGGCTGAGCTGCGTCTGAGGCACGGTCGCCGTTGGCTGCGGCAGGCGCGATGGAGGGACTCGGTGGATTTAACCCACTCAGAGCCAGCCTCTGGCCACCGGCGCCCGCCCGGCGACCACTCGCCCTGCCTCCGAGGCTCCGTTATTCTTCCCATCCATCCCAGATTGAGGTGGAGATGTCGCGGAGAGAATTCCGCCCCAGGAGAATGCAGGAGGTAGTATCTTTACAGTTTATACGCTTTACTTCATGTAGCCCACAGCGATTTTTCAAAGTTGACATGCATTGCCTCATTGCTTTGGCAGATTCTTGTTGCGGTATGTACAACATGACCATGTGGATAATGGTTATGAACACAAGAACTGTACGTCTTTCTTCTTAGCTTTCAACTCGCACATGACTTTACTGCCGATATGTCGTTTTTCCTATTTTTTCTTTTGTCAGACTGTTCGTGTTTGACTCTGTGCATCCTAGCTATGCAGAGGCCGGGTGTTGCTCATCATGCTTTGTATCTGCGTGATGCTACATTTTGAGTTGATAAAAGCACCCTTTATCGGAAAAAAAAAACTCTCAAATGTCAGAAGCAAACGCATTCTTGTAGTAGGCATGGCATCAGCAGTACACCATAACCTCACAAGCTAGATGATACTTGGATATGGATGAAAATGACGCGAGGATGATGAATGTACCACAAAGCCCATTCCCCCCCTTGCTTATGTGCTGGAAAGAGATACGTTATTGTTGGAGGAAGATTAACATACCTAACCAACAAGTGATATTGATTGCAATTCGTTGACTTCTCTACTCTGGTATGGCCAATGATGATATTTGAATTTAAACTTCATTCTTGTTGGCTTAATGTGCCTTGCTTTCTGATTTCTAGTAAACCACTAAACATATTAATTACGTTAGCCCATTAATAACAACTAGAAAATACTCACTCCGTTTGGAAGTGTCCGGCGTAGTTTGACTGTCCAAGTTCAAGCTCTGACCAGCAATCGATACAGCAGTATGAACACAAAGCTGATACCCAGGCCCTACATTTGCAAACAGGGGGAATATGGTTTTTGTCTTGACTCAATGCATTGAGCACCGATTGATAATTTATGTTATTTTACTTCTGAGTTTTTATATACATTGTTGTCAGGTCGCTTTCATACGCGAGCCTTCCAGCTAAGGTGCACTACTTTAAAGGAAGTTAGCCTATCAAAGGACTTATTCTCAAAACAATTAATGAATAAGGAGCTAACTTACAAAATGTTGCTCCCAGGATGATGTCACACTGATACCAGTATCTGCTAGTTGTTGGTACTTATTGACTTCAATAGTCTCATTGTACATGCACCTAATCTTTTTTCTACTTCATCATTGCTCAATGTCTTTTGTAATGCCCAAATTTTGAGTTAGTAGGAATTATAAACAATGGGAGTCAAATAGTATTGATAGTTGGTAAAATGGAAGTCAAATTTGTGTTAATAGTTGGTAACAATGACATTAAATATTTAAGAATCTTTGATTAATTCTGTTGATGCTGTCACTCCTTTGAATATGGATATCGCCTGCTTATTTATACCCCGCTTATGGTCAGGGATGCTACGGGCAGGCAGACAGGAAGTGATTAGGAGGAATAAGAAGCACCATGGCACTTGTAGGTTTCGTGGATTGGAGGGGAAACGCCATCAGGAAAGAGGTGCATGGTGGAGTCAGAGCAGCATGGTTCTTGTACGGTAATTTACTATACACCGAATCTAGTATGCAGACATCTATATATGTGTGGGCATGCAATATCTCATTGTTTCTATTTTCAAGCTTCTGTTCTGAGTTCAAAACATTGAACTTTTTTTTGCAATCTCCCTTGCAGTTCTGACTGTGGTAACCAACGTGGTTATTATCCCAAACCTGCTGAATCTGGTTACTTATCTTCATGGAACAATGCATATGGGGGTTTCGGCCTCTGCAACTACAACCACTAATTTTTTTGGTGCCACATCCGGGTTTGCAATGATAGCAGCTTTCCTCTCCGACTCCTACATTACTCGCTTTAGAACAATGCTCCTCTTTGGTCCATTTATGTTTCTGGTAATATGATCTTCCTCTGTTCAGTCATCTGCACAATTTCTGATTTTCCTTATGATCCAATTATTATTTTGTTACTTACATGTTATCTTTCTTTTTGTAACAAGAATTGTGCCCATGATAGAGATTAGAGAGTGTTAATAATACCTGTTGGGCTTTATCAAATAGTTTCTCTAGCATCTAGGTTTTAGTATTTTCTCCATATGCTAGAGAAGCATCTGCTTCAATGTATGGACTGTAAATAACAAGAATTGGAAGGGGTGAGGTGAGAATGGACTGTAAATAACTAAATATATTACTAAAACAGCGATGCTTCTCTAGCATATGGAGAAAATGCTAAAACCTAGAACTGCCTTATATAATAATAGAAAAAATCAACCAACAGGAACTAGCACCTGTGGTGTTTATATTTAGAACAACAACCGCGAGGCACCGCTGGGAGACCAGGCCTCGAACCTGGGTGGGCTGACCGAGCACACAAGCTGATAGTTAGCTGGGTGATGCTCAGTTCTTGAGAACTGCCTTATAATTTAACATGCTTTAGTACAGCTCAATTCCTGACAAATAATACTAACTCTAGCATATCCTCGACCATTAGATCCACTTAATGTGAATATGACATATTTAGGGATGCCTTTTGGTGTAAAAGGCTACTACGCCATCTTCATTTTTGTCCTATCCTATAAAGCCTTGCATTAACACCCTTCATGATGTTTACTTGTAAAAAAAAATATAATTATGCAAGATATTTTTCTCAGCCTCTAAAATTTCATTATACAGATGTCCACGAGTCAAATGTCACTGGCTGACAGCTTTTTATGCACCTTCTATAGGAAATTATATATATAATGCTATTGTGTTATAATCAAACATGAATTTGTGCAGGGTTACGGATTGCTCGCACTGCAAGCCTACCTTCCTTCACTCCGTCCACCAGCTTGCAATATTGAAGCAGAGCTAAACAGTTGTGAAGTGGTCCATGGATGGAATGCTACCTTATTGTACACAGCCTTGTATATGACTGCATTTGGTGATGGTTTTATCCGTGTTTGCTTGCCATCCCTCGGAGCAGACCAATTTGACCATGAAGATCCCTCTGAGTCCCGCCAACAGTCCAGCTTCTTTAACTGGTATACCTTCGGAATCTCCTTTGGAGGTTTTGTAGGGCTGATTCTCATAGTGTGGCTCGAGAACTACAAAGGGTGGGATATCGGACTTGGGGTGTGTGCCATCCTAATTCTGCTAGGATTGCTCATAGTTGCTGCCGGTTTCCCCTTCTACCGCAACCAAGTACCACAAGGAAGTCCTCTAACTCGAATACTGCAGGTAGTGCTTTGTATTCCTGGCTTACAACATAATATGCCATCCCAATTCTCAGGAAATGTGTTAGAAACATTACTTAACTACAATTTTGCCTCTCCCAGGTTCTTGTGGTTGCATTCAGGAACAGGAAACTTGAACTTCCTGAAAAACTGGAGGAAGCGCAGGAAAGCTGCACTGGGACAAGGGCATGTTCTGTTGATGCACTCGCTCCAACAAATAGTCTGAAGTAAGATTCAGTGAAATAATACCCTTTTCTGACTTTTGTGTGTACTACTTATCAAGTTGGCATAGAGAGTAGTGTACGAGATTATAGACTGTTCATGCATCTTGGCAGATTACTCGACAAAGCTTGCATCAACCGTGGCCAAAGTGGAGCCTGGTCAGTTTGCAGTCTGAGAAAGGTGGAGGAGACAAAGATTATCATCCGTGTGCTTCCTCTCTTCGTCAGCTCCATGATCGGATATATATCGAACGTTATCCTCTTCACATTCACTGTGCAGCAAGGCACCATGACGAACACAAGGCTGGGCAAGATCCATGTTTCCCCCGCGACACTCTTTATCATCCCTATCATATTCCAGATGCTAATGCTTGCTGTCTATGACCAGTTCCTTGTGCCATTCTTGCGTAGACGCACAGGCTATGTCGGTGGTGTCACTCATTTGCAACGCATTGGTATAGGCTTCGTCACCATGCTACTTGCGTCAATCATTGCAGCAATTGTTGAGAAGAAGAGAAAGGAAGCTGTGGTGCAGATGTCCCTCTTCTGGCTTGCACCTCAGTTCTTCCTTCTTGGTGTGGCAGATGTGACATCATTCACCGGGCTCCTTGAGTTCTTCAACAGCGAGGCACCACGCGGCATGAAGTCTATTGCCACAGCGTTGTTCTGGTGTGCTCTGGGGCTCGCGTCCTTGCTGGCCACAACGCTGGTGGAAATTGTGAACAAGGCCACAAGGCATGGGCACCAGGGAGGCTGGCTCGAGGGTACAAGCTTGAACAACAGCCGTCTTGACCTGTTCTACTGGGTTGTGGCTGTTGTGGGATTGCTTGGCTTATGCAACTACCTGTACTGGGCCAAGAAGTATGTGTACCAGCACAATCCACGCATCGTTGAGACATCGGTTGATCAGGATTCACCTTGAAATACTACATACCCATTGTTTTTTTACTTAAGTAAAAATGTAACATGTCTGATTCACCATGACATCGATCAGTTAAGTTTGCAAAGCAATGTAGAAGCCTGTAACCGGTGTTCTGCTCTGATGTGCTGTGCTGATTGGTTGGGTTCATCCTTGATACTCCATTTGTGAAATTGTCAAAAGAAATGGCTTTCTGCATAACACTACCTAACGTGGATTGTTCATGTCAAAATAATATCCAAGGGCAAATATCTTACTTCTCCGAACAGTGAGTTATGGTCTTCGGTTATTTTTCAGCATTGGTTACTACTCCTGTAGAAGGTGTGTATATCATTCACCTTCACTATGTATTAGTCGTATACATTACACGGTAGCTTTGCTTTACTCCCATAAATTCATCTACTTAGCTGAGTCCAATGATTAAACTGGGATCATCAGTTTCCTTTGGAAAACTGAATCATCACTTCAGGCTTTGGAGTGGAGGCAGGGGCACACAGCATATGTGGCACCTAGGGGCGCTGTTGCTCCTCCCCACAGCCTTGGGACACCTCTCGGGTGGCGGCACCACTAGTCCACTGCTCACTGAGTAACCGAGCACAGCTTTGACTGGCACCTGACACTGCAGTAACCAAACTGGCTACAGCCTACAGCACAGGTCCGGGGGCAGTTGCCGCTCTGCGCGGCATTAGTTTGACTCTCCAAGTTCAAGCTCCTGAACAAATTAACTAATAATGTAATACTGTATGGGTTGTATGGGTTATGTTACACTATTGATAGGATTCATAATCAAGAGCACTTTCTTATGATTCTGATTTTGTAACTGCCTACAAAATAGAGTAAAAGAAATTTACAGGCAAAGTTCAATCTTGGGCAGTCATATTACGCCTTTTATTTGCAAACAGAAGGAGTATGCTATTTTGATTGTCCTATGGACTAGTGTGTTGAGCACTGGTTGATAATTTATTTTGTTGTACTTCTGAATTTTTATATACTTGGTTATCATGTTGCTTTCAGAAGTGAGCTTTCCAGTTCACAAGTTAGGGTGCTCTACTTTGAAGGAAATTAGCTTATCAAAAGGACTTGCAAAATGTCACTTTCATGATGATGACACACTGATATCCATATCTGAATGTTTGTACTTGTGGAATTCTAGAATCTCATCTTACATGTCCCTAATCTTTTTTTTCTGCTTTGGCATTAGTGAATGTCTTTTATAATGTCCAAATCCAAGTCAGTAGGAGGTACCAACAAATGGCAAGAATCAATGATTCTTCCTGTCGATGTTGTGACTCCTTTGAATATGAGCATCCACATCTGCTAATTTGTACCCCTATCTATTACTTAGGGATGCCACAGGCAGTAATCCGAAGGAAGAGGAAGCACCATGGCACCTGGGGGCTTCGTGGATTGGTGGGGAAAAGCCATCAATAAAGAGGTGCATGGCGGAGTCAGAGCAGCGTGGTTTTTGTATGGTAAGTCATTATGCACCAAATCCTTCTGCAGACATATTTGCATATGCGTGGGCTGGGCATATGCACTATCTCACTGCTGCCATTTTGAAGCTTCTGTTCCGAGTTCAAAACATTGAAGCATTTTGTATGATCCCCCCTTGCAGTTCTGACTGTGGTAACCAACGTGGTTATTGTCCCAAACCTGCTGAATCTGGTCACTTACCTCCACAGAACAATGCACATGGGGGTCTCAGGCTCTGCAACTACAGCCACTAATTTTATTGGTGCCACATCTGGCTTTGCACTGATAGGAGCTTTCCTCTCGGACTCCAACATTACTCGCTCTAGAACTATGCTCCTCTTTGGTCCGTTTATGTTTCTGGTAATGTGCGTTTTAGTCTGTTCGGTTACCTACATGATTTCTGATTTTCTAACACGATCCAACGGAACTATTCTTTTATTCTTGCATCTTTTCTCATAAAATTTATTTTCTTATATTTCTCGCCATTGTGATGTGGTCTGACCAAAATCAGGGAGAAGCGTTATCTGCAGTGAAGAATTAATTTCCCAAAGTTGAGATGTATGGGTGTACAAAATCATATGGTGTAAGGGTGAGAATTGACTCTCAGTATATCTAACTCAAACAGCTATTCGCCTGTTACATATGGAGCAAATGCTAAAACTGAGAGCTACCTTACAATTTGTGGTGGTTTAATACAGCTCATGTCCTAACAAACATATAATACCTACTCTGGCATATCCTTTACATAAATCCACTTGATGTGGATATGAAGGGATACCTTTTAGTGTAAAATGCTAGTATTAGCATCTTCTTGTTTGTTGTATCCTATCAAGCCTTACGTTGATACAGTTTACGATGTTGACATGTAAAAAATGTAGTATTAATTATGCTACACAATTGTTTTCTTAGCTTCTGAAATTCCTTCATAAGGATTTCAAACAGGCTTAGATTTTAACACCAAGTTCTTGCTAGTTGACAGGTATTTTTGCACCTTCCATAGGCAATTGCGCAATTGTAGTATAATCAAACATGCATTTGTGGAGTGCTGGCTGACAGCAGTATTTTTGCACCTTCTATAGGCAATTGTGCCATTGTAGTGTAATCAAACATGCATTTTTGCAGGGATACGGATTGCTAGCACTGCAAGCCTACCTTCCCTCGCTCCACCCACCACCTTGCAACAGTGAAGCAGAGGTAAACAACTGCAAAGAGGTCCATGGCTGGAATGCTACCTTTACTGTACACAGCCTTGTATATGAGCGCACTTGGTGATGGTTCTATGCGTGCTTGCTTGCCATCCCTCGGAGCTGACCAATTTGACCACGAAGATCCCTCCGAGTCCTGTCAACAGTCTAGCTTCTTTAATTGGTATACCTTCGGAATCTCCTTTGGAGGTTTTGTAGGGCCGATTCTCATAGTATGGCTTGAAAATTACAAAGGGTGGGATATCGGACTTGGGGTGTGTGCCATCCTAATTCTGCTCGGATTGCTCATAGTTGCTGCTGGTCTCCCTTTCTACCGCAACCAAGTACCAGAAGGAAGTCCTCTAACTCGAATACTGCAGGTTGTGCTTCATATTCCTGTCTTAAAACACAATGTGCCATCACAATTTTGAGGGAATGTGTTAGATCAAATACCAAGATCTCGTTAAGCGTGTTATTTAGAAGTAACCGTGGACGCCGATCAGGGACCAGGCCCACCTGTCTCCTAGGTGGTCGCAACCTGCCCTATCGCTCCGCCAAAATGTAACCATCAGGGGTTGCCGGGAACCCAGACCCACCACTACCTGGGTGGAACCACCTGCCCCTTCAGCCCCCATCTCCGAATCATCAACATAAGTATGTAATAGTATAGTATATACCCGTGATCACCTCTCGAGTGATCACGGCCCAGTAATATAGCATGGCAGACGGATAAGAGCGTAGGGCCACTGATGAAATACTACCATCCTATACTAAGCATTTATGATTGTAGGTAAGGGTAACAACTGTAGCAACAATGACAGGCTATGCAGCAGAATAGGATTAACTGAAAGCAGTAACATGCTACACTACTCTAATGCAAGCAGTAGAGAGAAGGAATAGGCGATATCGGGTTGATCAGGGGGGAGGGGGCTGCCTGGAAGCTCAGCCGAGAAGGAGGGATCGTCAACACCGTAGTTGTACTGGGTAGCAGCGGCGTCGGTCTCGGTGTCTAACGAGAGAAGAGGGAGAAGAAACAATAAATATAATGCAAACATATGCATGATGATGCATGACATGACAATGAGCAGTGATATGTGTGCCCTAACACGACAGTAGGTGATACTGCAAAAGGGTGGAAATATCCGGGAAAGTATTCCCGGTGTTTCGCGTTTTCTGACAAACGGACTGGAGGGGGAAAGTTGCATGTTCGCTATGCTAGGGACGTGTGGCTGACAAACGGACTGTGTATTCAGATTCGTCCCGTCGTTCTGAGCAACTTTCATGTACAAAGTATTTTCATCCGAGCTACGGATTATTTTATATTAATTTAATCATTTTTGAAATTAATAGAATTAATTTAATTCAAAAATTTGGTTACTGCATCAGCATGACGTCAGTATGACGTTAGCGGTCAACATTGACCGTTGACTTAGTCAAGCTGACGTGTGGGTCCCACTGTCATTGTCTAATACTAACTAAACATGTTTAATTAGTTTAGTTAAATGATTAGGTTAATTAAACAAAATTAATTAGGTTAATTAATTCTTTAATTAACTAATTAATTAATATTCTTATTATTTTTTTAAATTTCTTTTTTCTGTTCTAAGGGGCGTGGGCCCCATTCATCATAGTCACAGGGGGTGGGCCCCGCTGTCGGTGGTCCATAGGCCAAAGTGGGTCGGGCGCAACGGGCGCCGGTCGTCTGGCGTCCGCTCGAACGGGACTGGCGAGGTGGCGCGGCGGACGAAGGCCGTCGGGGGTGCGGCGAGGCACCGGCCATGGGGAAGTGGTTGTGGCCGTGTCGGCCGGCGGAGAGGCGGATGCCGGCAGCGCCGCGTGCGGCGAAGTGTGGGTAGCGGCAGCGCGGGGAACGCAGTGGTGCAGGCGAAGACGAGTAGCAACAACGTGCAGCATGGGTGGTCGGCAGTGAGCGACGAAGGCGAGCGGCGGTGCCTGGCAGTAGCAGGAGGAACGGGGCGCGCAGGGGCAAGCTGCAGGCGAGCAGCAGGTGGCCGTGCGGGGCGGCGGGCAAGCAGCGGGGCCGCGCGAGGCCGCGTCGAAGCAAGCAGCAGATGGTCGCAGTAGGCGGGGCTTGCGAGGCTGCGAGCGGGTTAGGCACGGCAACGGCGAGCGCAGTGGTTGGCTAGGACGGTAGGGGGCATGAGCGGGACGCCAGTCCAGGCGCGACGTGGGGAGGAGGCCGCGGCCATGAGTGCGTGCGCATGCGGAGAGCGACCGCGACGACATGGACGAGGAAAGAGGGAGAGGCCGGGGGCCTCACCGCGGGTGATATGTCTCCAACGTATCTATAATTTTTTAATGTTCCATGCTGTTATATTATCAATCTTGTTTGTTTTATAATCATTTAATAGTCATTTTATATTTTTTGGTACTAACCTATTGACATAGTGTCAAGTGCCAGTTGCTGTTTTCTGCATGTCTTTTACATCGCAGGAAATCAATACCAAACGGAGTCCAAACACATCGAAACTTTTTGGAGATTTTTTGGACCTGTCATGGAATTTTCACGACAGATGTCCTAGCGAAAGGACTTAGTCGTAGGGCCATCGCAACTAGGAAGTTTAAAGGGGTTAATGGGGACAAAGGACACGAGAGGTTTTTATACTAGTTCGGCCCCTTACGATGAAGGCAAAAGCCTACGTCTAGTTGTGTTGGTATTGCTGGGGTTTTGATCACCAAGAGGCTTAACTCGCCGGCTTGGTTATCGATCTCTTGTTTCTTGCCCTAAGCCGCCACCGGGTCGTCCCCTTATATACACGGGTTGACGCCTGGTGGCCTACAGAGTCCTGGCCGGCTCATAATCGTGTCCGGCTCGGTGACTTCTTTTACATGCCTTTCTTTACAAGTCTTTCCTTACATACGGCGGTTTGTAATATTGGGCCTTAAGCCGCCTCTAGGCCTTTGGGCCTTCTATAAGATTTGATTAACTATCATCTTAATGTTTACTGGGCTTCTTATGTAACCCGGCATTGGGGCTGACCCGGCCCCTCCTGGGCGGGCCATAACTGTGACGCCCCGAGATCGATGCGCCAGGTGTCTTCCAGTTATTCGTTGCCGTTGCCGTGTCGTTCGCTTGCGTGGTGCATCTTGTCATGTCATCATGTGCATTGCATCATCATGTTTTCAAAACCTGCATCCGTCCCGGTCTGCCCATTATTTCCATTGTCCGTTCTAAGCCCATACACACTTGCACGCGCCCGCGGCACGTCTGAAATATTATTTTATTAGTGGCTGAAAAATATTCTTGGAATGGGATGAAAGTTGGCGTGCGGTCTTATTTTAGTGTAGGTAGACCGCCTGTCAAATTTCATCGCGTTCGGAGTCCATTTGATGCCCTAACAGATAACTATAGCGGCGGTATAGCCGGTCTAACGTCGGATGTTTTCGGTCTCCGGAAACAGTCGCCGGGCCTCTCTCTCTTCTCTTCTCTCAGCTCGAGCCCTTCTGCATAGCCCACAAGTTCCAACCGACCCCTCGCGTGCGTGTCCGAAACATCCCCGGACCCGACCCGGACAGTTGTCACCGTTGGGTACGGAACATCCCCAAACATCTACAAAATATCATCATTTTATTTATTGGACTCTTTAGCATATTAAGGCCCTGTTTGGTTCGGCTATGGATTTATAAAAGCAGCTGTGGAAAATCTGCTGTGGAAAAACAGTTGTGAAAATCTGATGTGAAAAAGATGTAGGTCATTTGGCAAACCAGCTGTTACAACTTTTTCAGATTTTGCCCCGCAGCGGAATCAGATTTTGGAAAGCACGTCCTGGGCTGCTTCCGCTTTTGGTTCAGATTTTGGCAGCGGATTTCTGGAATCGGATTCTACTGGGTTCGCCCTTTGGTTCAGATTCTGCTGCGCGGCAGCGGAATCCGTCGATAAAAACTGAACCAAACAGGGCCTTATTCTCGTCCGTCGGATTTCGATCCGATGATCCAGACCCCTCTCTTTTCACCTACATGCTATATATAGCCCCTAACCCTAAATTCTAGGGACCTTGTCCCATCCATCCCATCCCTCCGCCGCAGCCTCTCCACCAAATCCCCCTCGGGATCCTCTTCGCACCAACCAGCAACCACCGAAACTTCCAAATCCATCAATCCCTGCCTCGCCTCGAATTCCAGCCACATCCACGCTCGATCTCGTCAGGATCGAGGCCACCAGCATGCCCGCCGACCACCGCGGCGACCAGGCTAGCTCCGTTGCCTCGTTCCTTCCTTTTCTCCCGTGCTTTTCCCTTGTCTCAATTCTCTCTCTCTCACCCCGTTCAAGCAGGAAGCAGCCAACGCCATGGACGTCGTGTCCTCGAGCAGCAGCAGTCCCGAGCGTCGCTCGACCCCGCCTCCACCTCGTTCCCGCCGGAGCAAGCCCCACCGCGCTGCCTTGCGTAAGCCGCCGGAGCCTGCTTCCACCCGCGCGGCTGCGGCATCCTCTGCCTCGGCCCCTCGCCGAGCTCCTCGAGTCCCGCTGCTGCCTCAAGTTCCCCGCCGCCGGAGTCCTCAGCGCCACCGCGACTGCCGCTTGCGTCTTCCCGGCGAACCACGCCGACCCGTTAGCTTCCTCTGTTTCCGGCGACAGGACGCGCCGAGCCTTCGTTGATCTCCAGCGAGCGCCAAGTCTGCGGCGTCGTCGGTCTCTAGGTCGAGCGCCTCGCCTCGCGTTGAACGCGCCTCCAGGTCGCCGCCCTCCTCACTGGAGTCCCTCAAGCCACCGCTAGTCCCACTGCTGCGGCCTCCTGCATCACCGACGTCCTCTGCATCGAAGCAGATGCAGAGGAGGACGAGCGTCTCGACCCCCTGTTGCGCTAGCGCGTTGACCGTGCCTTGCTTCTCGAGTCGCCAAGGCCCAGCGCCCCTCCTGCACCCTCCCTCCCGATCTGGGCCAGGCCCACTGGGTGAGAACCCCCCCTATGCACTTTGGGCCGTCCAGATTCAGCCCCGTGTCGTTTTTTAGGATCTAGTGATTTTGTCTTTTTTCCAGAGGCTGCCAGTTTTACAGAAAAGTCCCTAGAGTTCATGCATATAATAACTCATTAACCATGCACCGGATTAAAACAAACTTTATATGTAAAATGTCTAGAATTTTGTATAGTTTAATAATATCCAATTTTCATGCATGTTTGAGATGTTTAACTTGCTGTTTGCATTAATTTGCTCAATTGCCATGTTAAAATGATTTAATTCATAACTAAATAACCGTAGCTCCAAATTTAATA